GCGAGACGTTATCGCGTGTGCTTATCCATCGCGAATAATGCTTCGCGCTTTCTCCCCCCTCCGTCCCGCTCCTGCGCCGCCGGCATGAGTCCTGTGTGTCGTCGTATTGACAAGTAGACAGCAGGGTGTATCGGAGCTTCGCGTGCTATCTTCCCTCACGAGGGTCGCCCACGCGATGGAGTTGAAAATTCCGCGGTATTATCCGTGTGTTCCCGGACTCTATTCTCTATTTCCGAATATAAAAAAGAATAGATCATCCGAATTTTTAAGTATGTAATACGCGAGTATACGCACATGAAGGTGTGCCTTTTCATGCAGCGAATTTTTCGCTGCGAATGATTTTTAGCGAACAGCGAATAATTCGCCGCGAATAGTTTGTGAGCGTCGCATTTCGTCGTTATTGATGATTACACATCGTTTGAAAGATGCAATCTTATCCAAAAGATATTGGGAAATAAGGAAAATCGTTTCGCAATATCTACTAAAGTACGTATTTATACTTGGTTATATGCTTTGAAGTGTTTTTAAATGCTGTGTATTTAATAAATATACAGTAAATTATTAATATATTTATTATCTATAAATTTTTTTTTTATCTTTTTAGATGGAGGATCATTCAGTTATGAACTGGATTATGTTATATAATCAACAAATGCAGTGTTCATTTATTTATACACAAGTATATTATTACCATCAAATAAATGCACGAAAATCCATTTATATATCTATAATCATTTATATATCCATTTATATATCTTATAATATATTTTATAACATATCTTTACATAGTATGTAGTACAACATCCGATATTCCACGACATTCGCTAAAAGCTGGAAAATTTCGGCGAATAGCGATTATTGGCTAGCGAACAGCGAATGATCACGTAACCATCAATCGCGGCAATTTTTTCGCTGCATGAAAAGGCACCTGAAGTACACGATTATGCGTGTCTTTGTTGCTATTTAAAACGTTTCTGTTTTTTTTTATTTTCATTGATCCCATGAAACTCTTATTTTTTCAAACTTAGTCTTAAAGGGAAAATTATTAACTCGGTTGTGCTCAACGGAAGGAAATGAGAGGCGGTCGTTCGTTGAGTGTGCTCGTATTTCTCATTTCAATCTCGAGAGCGTAGTTATATTTGTATTACCGGTAATTCATCTCTCGTACAATTTATGCGGACTTGCAGAGAAATATTATAACATAAATATTCTAAGAAGAAGAGATTCTAAGAAGAAAAGTAGTGGTACTTGTCCGATGAATGTGTATAACGCTTCTCTAGCTTACGAGTAGAGCGTTGAATCGCGTTTGGATCATGAACCGGATTCGAGGTATTATATTTGTGAGTTCAATTCTTACAGAAGGCAGAGCTGAGCATGTATAATATTTGAAATATTTTTATTTGAAAAACGGTATTTGTAAGACAATTGTATCTTGTATTACGCATTTCAGCGGCGCAAATATTTTGTATTTTGTGTTTCATGGCAGCGTATAAAAGTATTTTGTATTTCAATATTAATAACAAAAGATTGAAAGTATCTTGTATTTTGTATTTCAGATACCCCCCAAGATTGACAGTTAAATGTTATTATTTTAATTACAAAGCACAAAAAACTTACACTTTTTCGATTTTTAATACAAAATACATAATACTTTCATGTGCTCCACTGAAATACAAAATACAAAATATACTTATATTGCAAAAACTGTGGTTTAAATAAAAGTATTTCAAATACATGTCCAGCCCTGATAGAAGGCAATTCTTTTTGTTCGCAGCCCGGTAAACACTAACTGCAGTATAACATATTACATGAATGATTACAATTTTATCTCAATACTGTAGTGCAAGACACTATACGGAACAAGTTACATTGTGCATTATTAGATATTAAACCAGCAATGGTAATCCAATCCCTTGAGACAAATAACATTTTGTTATTTTTAATTTTTATCTGAGTCAAAATGTAAATCAATCCATTTTTTTTTATTTCTTTGATTTCAGAGGTAAAAAGAATTCTTTTTCTGAAAAGAATTCTTGTTGCATCTGAAAATGAGTTTAGAATCAAGGTTGAGTAAGTTAATGTTCTTTTTAAACTAAATTAAGTTAAAGTTAATGACTTATAAAATTAATAAAATTAAGTTAAAAGTTGAAGGAATAAAGAATTAACTTAATAAAAGTTAAGATTGAATTAACCTAAATTTAAAAAAAAGTTACTTTTGAAAAAAATTATTTTTGAGATTAGAATGTTCCAATTTTACTTAAAATGAGATTACTTTAAATAACACTTACAAATGTAGATTATTAGGTAAATTTAATTTTATATTCACATGTAAGTTACTTATATATAAGAATCACATCATAAGGCGTTTTTGTCAAAACTTGCGAGAGAGAAGGGTAGGTTCGTTAACTTCTGAAACGTCTGCTCATACATGTTTACGACTACATCGACTAAATATTTGTTACAAAAAATATACGTAAAAATTTAGAAAATGAATGGATGTGCAGTATACTGTTCTACAACGATTTTTCGTTGTACAAGGCTTGTTTCATATTTATGTTGCTGAAATATAACGTTTATTATACTTAAAATTAGTATAGATTTAAATATAAGCGGGAATTGACAAAACCTAGCGATTTAAAACTGGCTACTGTATGGTGTGACTCTTATTATAGATCTCTCATCATAAAATCATTGAACTTTTTCTAAATTAATTCTCTAATATTTGATTTTATATAAAAAAAATATTAGCGTTAAGAGATAGAAAAATTTTTAATTTAAAAAAAGTTAACAAATTAAAGTTTAAAAGTAACTAAATTAAGTTAAAAATTGATGCATTAAAAATTAACTAAGTTAAGTTAAAAGTTATTAACTTTTTAACTTTTTTTTTAACTTTTAACTAGTTACTACTTTTTAACGTTTTAACTAGTTACTACTTTTTCACGTTTTAACTAGTTACTACCCAACTCTGCTCAGAATTGATGACATATCACATTTTTGTTGTATCGAATTCTTTTCGAACTCTTTTAAACTTTCTGTGCTATCTGAGGCCAGAGATGTGACGGAATTGGACAAGATGTTGTATTCCCAAAGATACGCAGTATCAGAATAATGGCGTCCACGCAATTTGCCTTTAAATGCAACTGACGTGAATACAAAAATCTTAAGTCTGTCCGCGTTGTTTGTATTCGTTTGCACTCATCTTTGCTTTCTCTCTCTTTAATGTCCGGAAAATATATTTATCTCTAATCTACGCATTGTTAGATATCAAAAGAGCAAATAACACTTTGTCATTTTCAACTTCCATCTGGATCAAAATGTACAATCCATTTCTGTGCGGTTATATATTGTATCAACAGCGTTATTTTAATTTTGTTTTTTTTAAAATAATTTTGTTGATTCAAATACAAATATTAAATAAAAAAATATTAATATAATAAAACAAATTTGACACGCTTGTATTTTGATAAAATTTTGTTTCATTAATACTGTTATCGCGAGTCAACAAAATGTTTTTTAATTAAAATAATGTTATTGATGTATAATTTATCATTGTTTATATAATTTCTGATTATTACAAACAAATGCCACTTTCGGAATTACAAGTAAAAATAATTTTTGACTTTAAGAATAAATTAAATTTAAGTAAAATGCGTGTAATAACATTCCGTTTGTTTCATGATCGGCATTTTAGTCAATATGTAAATCTAGTTTAACCTCGCCGAGAAAAATTGGCTCTTGTATCTTGTTTGCTTAAAGAATGGCAGAGATAATCCACCGTGGCAAAAACTTGCTTTTTAAATTGATCGGAAAAATCGTGTACACACATTTTTTCCCCGACGAGGCCGCATTTTGTAGTTTCTCAGCGAGGACATCGATCGCACAGTCGTCCTTTTTGTCACTTCTTTCTATGACCGATCGTATCCTCTTATACATGTGCAATCACGCCGTGGGCGTTCTCACCAAGTAAATTCGCGGCGAAACGCAGTTTCGTGTTACACGTCGAGTGGAAGCACTTAACGGACGCATGAAAAGAAACTAGGGAGTATCCGTGTTTGAAACGGGATACCGACAGCATCTTTAAGGATATCGACTGATATTTCCACGGGGATCGAATGCTTGGTAACAGATTTCCCTCTGTCCTTCGAGTCTTCGATTATCGGAATTGGATTTACTGGTAGTCTTTAGGGTCTCTCTCTCTCTCTCTCTCTCTCTCTCTCTCTCTCTCTCTCTCTCTCTCTCTCTCTCTCTCTCTCTCTGCTGATAAATATGAGGTATTACTCGGAGAATTTAGAGAGGTGAGTTGTTACATTCAATTTAATATCGGATTATCGCGTAGCGCGCGTTACTAGAGAGAAACACCAATATCTGGCTGTTATTACGTGGATGTGGAAATTAATATAGATACGTATTAGGCCGATAGCTTAGGTAGATAGACTTCTATAATAGGTTTTAAAGGTGTCCATTCAGGATCAATTTTTTACGCTCCCTCCTTTCGTATCGAACTCAATTTCTAATTTAACACGTTATGTATATTTATCAATTTTGCTTGTATCTAAAAATTTAGATACAGATCTGAAAGTAATTTGTTGGGCTATTAAAATATTAAATTTCAATTATAAATTGCGGACTCTTTTCACAGAATTCTGTAATATTG